GAGCGAGCCGTTAGGCAGCCAAATTATCAAACCATGCGAGCGAGTTCATGATAATTCCAGTGCCCCTGGCCTTGTTTGACAATGACAGGCCAGTGGTTTGCTGTGCATTGTCCTCTTGTCTCTTTCCAACCCTCACTCGAAAATAGAAACCTTCAGGTCAATGCAAAAGAGAGCTCAGGCTCGTTGACGATCTGACCGGCTCCTCTGGACGGTTCCTTCCGATTGGCGTGGACAGGCATGTGGCACGTGGCAGCCAGTCAATGCTAAATCCACCGTTGTTTCGAACCGGTCTCAAATCAGTTCATGACCCAGAGCCTGGAGTTTGCAGGGCTGAGATTGACGTAGACTAGACGCACCTCAACGCTCTTCTCAGCCAGAAAGGCGCTTCAGACCTGACCCTGCATGTGATTTCTGTGGGCTTGGTGACATGTAACGACAACGCACGGTAGTTGGGGTTAAAAAAAGATCAACGTAAAACAAACGCTGCACTTTGAGTCTGTGCATGCCGGTCGCACGGAATCTGGATGTACGGCTATCGGATCAATGCTTTTGAGGCCCTCGCCGAGCCGGGAGAAGCCCAGAAAGTGATAACGGTATCATTTGCTGCTGTTGGTGATGACTTGTATGAAGACGAATCTGCTTGCCTCCCGTCGTCTGCAAGGTAGGTACCTACCTACTGAAACTTGAAAGAGTACCTCCTCAACCCGTGACATGGCCGCCTCAGGCTCAAACGTCACTATCTGGCAACCCATAGACCGGGTCGATAGTTCCTGCTAATGGATGGATGTTCATGCTTCCCCAGCCCGAATGTCATTACATTGGCACAGAGCATTCAACCTCAAATACAGTACGCCACAGCCACGAGCATAACTAGTATGCCCTCAATCTCCGGGGAGATGTTTTCTTTCTTCCGGAGTTGAGGCTTGTTCAGATGGCATCGTTGGCATCATGCTTCCCGCACTAGTGTCAGCAACTCACAGACTACATTCAAAGCGTCATGCACTGTAGATATGTTCAACTTCTGTCAAAGCGCATCGAGGATCTCGCGCTTATCGGCATAATAGAGGTCATCACAGACGTGCCTGAGTGCTGTGCGTTAGTTTAGCTATGAAGTTGAGTGTTTCAGATGCTGATGATGGTGATGAAAGTCATCCGACATGAACAAGCCACAGAACGATCTGGCCAGAACAGGACTCAGAACAGGATAAACCCGTAAGCGAACAGGGCCAAGAGACCTATCAGAAATTCCTAACGACATGCAACGGCTAAAACAAAAACATATGCTCATTTCTCGAATCAGCCGTACCGGAACGCCCATAATAGACCGCCCTCAGTTAGCTCACGATAATAATACAGCCGCATTATAGCTGAGCCGCAGCCCTCAGGAGGGAATGACAGCGGGCACAACTGAGGATGGATTGCGCCACTGAGTACTCGAACCAAGAACATGTCCTCAACTCGACACTACTGAAAATGTGTCGTTGTGAACCAACAATCTCCAGCCTGCAAGATCCTTGGCGAATGTCTTATTCAATCATCGAAACTAGCGTGGCGGATATGCATTGATAATTCCCGCAGAGTGTCTGCACCAATCTCCCCCAGAGCTCGGGACATCACATCACGAGCGCCTCTCTGGTGCTGCAGGATCGAGGGCACAGGTGCAGGTGGCCGTGGGAAGCGGTGAGATGGAGTCCCCGTAAGCAACTGCAGCTATCAAGAGTCGAAGGCATCGCTACCGTTACATCGCAAGGTGAGCCATTCAGGGTCATGCCTCGCAAATCTGGCAGGGTGTTGCCGGTCCAGTGATCTTCACGGGCATGTTACGGAAGGCCAGGGCTCCCCTCACTGAATTGTTTCAATGCACGTTTTGCACAAGTTGCTTTCGGAAACAAACTCGGCCGAGGAACGAGTTGTGCAAAGCGGAGCAGGAGCAGGGTCCCCGGGTACGACACTGCGAGCCTCACGGTCTAGTCCAGATGATCAGCGCATTGCGTCTTCTGGGTTGACCCTGGAAGGGTCGGAGAATGAATTTGTGTTGGTCCTGTAGAACTCTCGGTCCGCAAACCAAGCCGACTGGTGATGAGCCAAGCATGTGGGGTCGATAAATGCAACCGTAGCCAGCCTCTTCCCCCAATTCTAAACTCTAATCCAGGGTTGAAGGGCGTCTATCACTGTCTTTCTCATGGTGTAGAGGTAGCCTCGAAAACACGTTGCTAGCCTGGCTCTGGCACTTGTCCATGACTTGCGGACTATAGTAACTCCTGTTATTATCTGTCAATGCTGGGGGGAATAGACATAGGAAGAAACAAACATAGCTTGCGAGATCGCAAGCATACCCTGGATATGGATGTTTACACGGAGGAACCGAAGAAATCACTGCCACTTTTGACATCTCGTTTCCTATGCCTGGTTTTCTTCCAGTAATGATACAATGCCTTCTGTTTCAGACTCATGCTTCTGCTACCCCGGGGCATAGTTAACGCCGACCTTAGTTATCGGAGTGGCGCCTTGGTGAACAGTCGTCATTTTCCCATCAACCGTTCATGCTTCTGGCCCAAAAGGAACACACCATACCCCAAATACTCGATGATCAATTGAACAGGGAATGCTCAATAGTCTGGCCTGTACTGTCGAGGCTCGCTACAATGCGGCTTTGTGTACTCCGTACTCCTCAGAGCTGCCATTACCTAGACCGCTGACTTGGCGCCAGGGGAGCTGAGAGGGCTGTGCAAGCATCGCCAGCTGATCAGCACTCAAAAGCTAGCAGCCATATTTAATGCAAATGCTCCGGAGAGATGGTGTTGTACTCTGAGAGGTTGTTGATCACTTGGTCTTGTCGATGGAGAGCAGGGTTGCATTGATGCCTTCACCCCAACAGCCAGCTTCAGCCCTGAGGATGAAAATGAGACAGGTCAGCTGCCCAGACCCTGCTGCGTGTCAATTGAGATAGGCTGGGCTGGGTGACTTCTGTCAAATCTTAGTCCAAAGGGATCAACGCTTGGGATTAATTTCATTCTCCAGTTGTTGGCTGAGCGATGTGGAGGAGGCGTTCGAAACGTTGGGGTCTCAGAGAGTAATTCGACAAATCAGCATCAACGTAGCCCGCTCTCAACTATCAACCACAAACACTTAATCTCATTGCACTACCAGGCCATACGGACAAACCTTCAACAATTTTAACATTTCAAGGGGCGAGAGGATTAGAGATGAGATGACATGGCATGAGGAGATCGCGCTTCAGTAGTAGGTAGCAAAGATGGTGTGTGAGTTGTGCATTGATAGTAAAACTCAGGAAATAAACAGAGGCTGTAGGGTTTGGTCCGCGTTGAGGAGGCGCTCAAGGGTGCGGTAACCGGCATGCAGGATGCTGTATTGTATCAGGGGATCGCGTTGATAGTTGGAGCTCAGTTGAGGCCCCTGCCGTTGCGTGGCTTTCAAGTTGGAGCCAGGAGCGTGGGCAAGGCTTGATTGATTTATGGACTTTGGCTTAGAGACAAGGATTAGACAAAGGTTGGGCAGGTCATTGCTTGTGTAGCGCTGCGTGTAAAGAGCCAAGTCAGGAACGGCGTGAACAATCAGCCGGGTTTGACAAGGGTATGCACTGTGGGTGGTGGAGCAGAGATCTTGGTAAGTTTTATGGCCTGGCGTTTTGTCCATTTCAGGGTAGAAAATACGTATTTTGCACGTCATGGTTCCTCCTCAAATCAATGCAATGTTGTCCACCCTCCCTTGGAATGCTCATGTTGATGGCTTGTTCTGTGGCCTTTTTGCAGTTGGAAATTGCTTCACTCAGACTCCGTATCGTGAGCCTCTAAGCACTTGCAGAAAGGTTAATCTGTATCTCCGGATCTGAGCGCCGTTACCTGTTCGGGCCTCTGCTCGGACGTCTTTAGGCCAGGAATGGACGTTGGTGAACGAAACGAGGTGTGACACGAGCGCCCAGGACCGGCACGAACCCTTAGGCCCATGTTGGTGAAGTGCTGGTGCTGTTGCTGGTGTTCACAGATTGCCAACATTATTGGATCCCCGCCGTTTGGTTCAACTCCCGTCTTGTCCAACGTCCCAAGTGCCGTGAGAGGCAAGTTTATTTAATCGCCGACGACACCTGTCAGAAGGATTTGTCGAGTCATGGTGCATGGGAATACTGGCTGGATATAAGAGATAGTGATGATCACCTGCTCACTGACGATCCTCTCTTTTCTGATGTAATTGATTTTACCCTCGACTCGACTCTGAAAGAGGACTTACTGGCAACATGTCTTTGGCGGGGGAATGTCTGGTTAAGCAGAACCCCTGTTTTCTTCTTAGCAGTGGCTGATCATCGCAACTGCCTGCATAGGAGCCCCTGTCTTCGTACCGACGGACATGGATATGCCGACTTTGGAGGTCTTTGGTTGCGATAAGGCATCAAGAGAGGCTTGAAGGTACATATGAGGACTTGGCGTGTGTCGGCTATAGACTGTCAGGCTCTGTACCATCAAAGTAGGTGGCTTGCTCGATTACCAAGTTCTATCTCCAGTGGCAGAAGCCAGAAGCAGAGGAGAACCAGAACCAGAACCAGAGCCACAGCCAGAGCCAGAGAGTAACGTTGGACGCTAGATTAGCATTTCAGAGTTATGAAATCCAGCCAAGAACCCGTCTGTGATCGACCTTTACAGTGGACGGATCCACTAGCTGTTATCCACTGTTCATTTTCTACCCAATCTCCAATGCTCCGGTGAGCTGGTCAGGCTGGTCCATCCCGTCCGTCTTGTCTTGTCTCTAAGAAAGAAGACCGCAAGGACCACTATCGCACTCTGATCTAGCTTCATTTATCGTGGAAATACCCACTAAAGAGTAGGGAGGGAGGGGCCCTGCGGGCTGAGCCTGAGCCTGCCCGACCCCGGCCGCGGCGCTTTCCCAAGCCAAGCCAAGCCAAGAGCCTGGGTCCCCCCGTCTCAGTCTCAGCAAGTAATGGACCTCGGTGGTATCCACTTTGGATCGCATCTCATACGCCCACGATGACCCTCTCTCTGTCTCTGTCTCTACAACACGCCCACACTCTTTGGCTCCTCTGGCCAATGCCTCATCTCGGACCTCAAACGCAACAGCAGGACGAGCCAATGTTACAGGTTAAGCACCCTTCGGCTCCAACCGGAGTCTGTGGTGCTGCGAGACGGAGGCAGCTCAAATTTTGGGTTCCCTCTTCTCGATCTGTAACCAGGTGTCTGGTCGTCCGTCCGTCCTTGGAGGCGGTCCGGTCCCCTCTTTCTCCGCCACAGATTCCAAGCAGCTGGCTCAATAACCGTCAACCTGGATATGCGTCGTCCGTTTTCACTAAATCCTGATCCCATTCCCGATGAACAATTCTACTAGCGTTGATTCATACACACTTCACTGTATGTGTAGCCAGTCAGTCAGTCGTTATTCAGCCTTCTAGCCAGTGACCGCTCCCACTTCCACCTCCGCAGAGCAACAGATAGTGGTGCATTTAGAGGGATCTGCCATCCCTTGCCTTGACGCCCCAAACCCGACGCCATCAACTGGTTTAGACTCCTCGGCTTCTGTCCCCCTTGTCCCCGTCTCCATCCGTCGCCGTAGACTGGTTCAACGTCCTGGAACTTGCAGAGGAGAGGGTGCCTCTACGGTAGTGCGTGCCAAAATGTCCCTCCCCTCTAATGTGCTCTAACCTGGACTAGCTGGTCTGGTTAATGCTTTTGGAATAATGACAAACCAAAAAAAAAAAAAACACCCAATGATCCCAAGGAAAAAGCCTTGAAACATGGGGCAGAACGACCAGATAGCCCCTACACAATTACACCTAAACGGCAAGTTGCCAAAGCCAGGGCGAGTTGCAGCGAAATACAGTAATGGGACCAGAGCGTTAGTAGCCCACAAGCGCACTAAGAGACTGGATAGCGGCCGGCACTACACCACCTCGGATCATTATTCGAGTTGGTACATTCATAGAACACACCATGCAATGCCATTTTTATACGGTACAAGAAACGAGACTATGTCTTTGAGGACGGTACAGAGGCGCTATTTGCACTTCTAAGCCCATATTGGAAACTACTGTACGCCGCCATCGACACAAACCAAGGTAGCCTAGAGAGGTATCGACGGATGGATGCTACTGTACTCAATGTTGGAAAAGGAATACCTCGTCTCAGTTCTGGTGTTAGTGCCAGCCCTTTTCTCCATATCTTGCCTTGCCTTACCTGACCTTGCTTTGCTTTGCTTTGCTTCGCTCGTCATCCCTGACCCTGGATACGTCTCTCTTCATCTCCCTCTTTTATCAGCCTCCCTCTATTTCCTTTCGTCACGCTCATCCACCCTCCACCTGCCGTCCTCTCTCGATCCCTCATCATCTGTGCCCCCCAGTTCACTCGTTGCCGGATGGGACCCACTGAAGCCCGCTGTTGCAGTGCAGGGATCCCTTGACTTCTCTGATCTCCTGCGTGGTTCCTTGATAGCCCTGGTGTATGTATACCATGCTCGCTGCACGCCTACAACTGGAGTCAGATTTTCGACGGCCCATCCTTCGAGCTTGGGTTGTTCAGTCTGGTATTTAGCATCTGCATGGCCCTGGCTATTTTACACTACACTACACTACATCACACTATCCTCTTCGTCTCCCAAGCACTCCTGATCTCCACTGCCCTTACCCAGCGGGACCGGACATAGGCCCATAACCCAGTGACGACCGTTGTTGATATCTGTCGCCGAACCCCCAGTATTGTCTGGCTTGAATGGACCTGTATCGACTGTCTACCTGACTCGAATCACATCAACTAGACGTCAAATAGCTTGTTTTCACGACTCAACAGTCTCAGGCGAACCTCGGAGTCCAGTCATATTATCGACTCGTGCTCGCTCCGAGTCCAATCAACTATAAGCTTCAATATTCCCCTGGCTCGTCTACTTGGTCTCTGGTATTATCCCTCAAAAACCACCACCACAGCCATAGAGCTCTCCCCCAGCCCCAGCCAAATCTCTTCCCGATCCACTAGGCAATACTTGGACCGCCTGCATTAACACGGCACGCCCTGTTAAGACTTAAGCACTCAGCTCCCACACAACCTGGCTTCTGGATTCTCAGCTTCACACGTCTCTTTATATATCCCACCTTCAGCCACTACTCTACACCTTCACCTTTTTATATACAGACAGTCGCACAACTTCTTCACCCCTTCAACAGTGTAGACACTCTTCGATTGTCAGATCAGAACTTATACGTCACTTTATAATCGCCGTATCATTTACAATTGGATCTCACCGCCGCCTCTTATACCCTAATCCAAGGCCTTTGGCAAACGTTGACCTGTCACTCCTTCAGCAAGTCTAGGCAACGTCTCCTGCATCGGATCTTCAACTCTTCCCCAGCGAGCGTCTGAAATTATTATGCTGTGACAAGTCAACATCTTGCCAACAACTATTTCCGCCTTATCTCTGCATCCTACACAAGCATTGCCAGAGGCACGTCCAAGTTTTGACAAAATCATGGAACTTATGGAACTAGTCGAGAACGAGCCCACAGCTCGTCCCTTCCAGTGTGACTGGCAATCGTGCACAAAGGTTTGTTGCCAGAATGATCCGTGGCCGTAGGACTTGACTGACTTCTGTTGCAGAGCTTTAATCGAAAGTCCGATCTACAGAGGCATTATCGTATACATACTAATGAAAGACCATACGCTTGCTCTATTCCTGGGTGTGGGAAGAGCTTTATCCAACGGAGTGCTCTGACTGTTCATATTCGGACACACACAGGAGAGAAGCCTCATCAATGCCAGCACATCGGTTGTGGGAAGCGTTTCTCGGATGTAAGTGTAGACCAAGCAAATGGTTTGAATGGGATTAACAGATAACACAGTCATCAAGTCTGGCTCGTCATAGACGAATTCACACCGGAAAGCGTCCATATAAATGCGCTCACGATGGATGCTCCAAGAGGTAGGCCGCAACATAACCATCGAACCCAGCACGTACTAACCCGACCTCAGCTTTTGCCGCAAAACAACCATGGTCAAGCACCAGCGGAGATCCCACCAGCAAGGAATGAACCCTAACGACATCGACGACTGCTCCTCGGATTCTGACGATGACGAGTCTCCCTCCACTCCTCAGCACTCCTCGATGCCTTGGTCACCTCATGAGATGGTTTCCATGAACCAGGGTGCCCCCAGCGGGCATTTACATCGTGCCTCCTCTTACGCTGATTTTGAATCACAAGTCCATGGCCACCACATGCCCCAGCATTACGGCAACCGGCAAGGCATCCCCGCCAGTGTTCCTCATGAGTACCACGGTACTCCCGTTCCCGAACAACACCCACACGTTCAGCTCGTCCATCGAGCAGCAACTATGCCGAGACAGGCTTACTATGTCACCGAGGCAGGGAATCCAGGTGTTGCTACCATGACAAGCACTGTACCACCTCATTACCAGCTATCGCAGCAAGTGGAACGACCTCCCATGGAGCTTCCATATTCAGCACCCGGAATTGCGACCTCAATTCAAAGCAGCCCAAGCACCTTTTCTGCTACGTCAGTCCCTAGCCCTATGATTCCTGAGGGCTTTTACGCACATCAATCTGGAAGCCAGCCAGCATACACAACAGCCGAATCTCAGCCGGCGATGATTCAATACCAGCAACCTATCCAACACCATATGGCTCAGCCACAGCAGCCAGTGGTATCCCAAGCGCAGCATATTCCTCCAACGGCCGGGCACTACGCTCCGCCGTCAGCCCACCCACAGCAAGAGCAGTGGCCACACTATGACCCGCCGATCGAAGTTACAACCATCGGACAGTTACCTGCATATGGAACTGCAGTTTATGATATTTACGGGCCAAAGATTGAGTTTGAGGACCCTTCATTGCAGCTACCCAGTAGCAGGCTGGCGAGCATGTGATGGATGACTGCTTGAATCACGCTATGTTTTACGAACGCCATATTCAACACGTTAAGCAATTACCCCTTTCCATTTACGATAATCACTTGTAACATAACGATCATACCGAGGCTGGACCACACAACGATCTCTGTTCCATGAACCTAATTATTATTCTTGAAGAGGATATACCCATCGGGACATTATTGGAGGAAATGTACTGTTCTATTGCATCCCCGAGCATATCTCTAGAACACATGAAAGATGTCATCTGCGATTCGAAAAGCATGTCATTTGGCGTTTCTGTCTTGCTTCTTGCCATTAGTGGAATTCTGAAAGCAATTTGCCTTTTGCAACCAATGTTCTTCCAGCTTCACATTTCTGATATTGGATGGTTGGCATTGCAACACCCTGTGTCATCTATCCTTGATAGCTCGGAGTGTACTAATGACACTATGTTTTTGAATCTTTCTCTACTCTTGTTGGCATTCACTTTCTTTTTTTTTTCAGCATTGAACAGCACCTATACCCTTTGAGAGAATTGTGTCGATATTGGATTAGACAGATAATTAGTAAGGGGTGAGGGGGGGAAGACCACTGGGGATAGCATTTTGAGGAGGCATAACAGGGTTTTATGAAGATTCAAGAGGACAAGAAGGTTTTTACCGGGAATTTTGGGGGTGATAGGGGCCATGGGAGACAATGAGAATACCCACGAATGACAGACATGGAGAAAGTAAACGAAGCTCCTTATTCACATCTAATATACCCACAGAGATATCCATCCATGAGATCTAAGGAACCCAGAAAACGCCCCATACCTAGTGAGAAAGAAGCGCCTGAGATATTGGATGAAGGATATGGAGTAGGAGTAGCAGGGTCTGTCGCAAAGTGGCTCGCCCAAAGGGTCACCCAGGTTGATCATAGTCTTAGAATATGTCTTACTTCCATTAGCCAGACAATTCTATCCCCCAACACATACACTAGGCTTCTACTGATCACAACAACCAAAATCCTGAACGCAAACAGTTTTGCAAAATCACAGTTAAAGCATCACTGTCACTTACACAGCACCTACTCACAACCAATGATAAGAGCGTTGTGCCATGACCGTGATCGGGAGGCGGAAGATCTGAGGGCCGAGAGAGGATGACTCAGCATCCTCTCAAATAGGAAAGGGCCCATCGTGTGATGCCGAACAGCGGACCAGAGTGGCAAGCGAACCGAACTCCCCGTCGATTACATACTGATGATGCCTACGCGCGATTCACTATGAGTGCATCCCGGTAGACAATCCATTCGTCTCTTTGAGTAGACTTACCACAACGCAATCTCGGTGCACGGCAAACGTTTGCCTCTCGAGAAACCGTTAGACGTGGCGGAGGCGCAGACCATCTGCCCACTAACTTGCACGTCATCAAGACACTTTACAATCAATCTTTTTCTGAGCATC